ACTAAGGGAACTTACCAAGAGACATGTGATAGAGGAACTGCTAAAGACAATTATATGTATATATGTATATGAGTGTGTGTATATCCCTCACACCCAGGAAGAAGGAAAATGCCCCCCAAAAGATGGTCTGAGCTTCAAGAAGAAGGCAAATAAAAAGATAATTTAAGACCACCGAACAAAAAATGTCCACAATAGTAATAATAATGATTATTATTATATGTATCAGGCCCACACTAATAATAATAATTACTATAATTATATCTAATTTATGGAGTTTAAAAATAGGACAGAACTAAAAACACTGGACAAAACAGCATTTAAGTGTGGAGGAAATGGATTAGAACTAAACTGTTTTAAGTTCCTTGTTTTGTTCAGGAAAGGGGGTGGGTTAAGATATTACTTAACCTTAGATGAAGTTAAATATGTGTGACAGAATTTCAAAGGCAAACAAGAAAGCAGAGTTTCTCAATCTCAGCACTATTTACAGTTTGCTCAGAAGGCTCTTTGTTGTGGGAGAATGTCTTGTGCCTTGTAGGATATTTAGCAGCACACCTGACTTCTACCTACTACATGCCAGTGGCAATATCTCCTTAAGCTGTGAAGACCAAAAATGTCTCCAGACATTGCTAAATGTTTTTCCAGGGGAAAATTTGCCTATTTCAGAACCACTGAAATAAAGAATATAAAGAGAATATATGAGTATAACTTCCAGGAAAAAAAAAGAATAAAACAGAGTGAGAAAAACAGAGCCAAAAGAACTCAATCAGGTTTCCAGTTCTGGTTAAGATGGAGTAAATACACTCCATCCTGTTTCCTACTGAATATATAGGAAGCTCTCTGAGGACTCTGAAAAGGAAATGGTAGCAGGCAGATTAGAGAAGGAAACCAGAACTCAAAATAGAGACCATAGGCCAGTGCATTTCCTGGATTTATTTTTCCTCCTATATCTCCCAGCTCAAAGGCAACATGAATCCCAGAACTGAGCACTAGGCAAAAACAGAAAGATCCACTAGAAGCTCTCCATTTGTACTCCAAGGAATGGAAGGGGGGTCCCTATGGGACAGTGAGAGTGTGGGGAATTCTGTTTTGTTTTCTCTCTCACACATGCCCCGAGGCAAACCTCCTTCCCGGAGCTGCAATCCTGTGATAGTCACGCCAGCAGCAGAAGTGGCAGCTGGATAGCCACCTAAAAAACTCTGAAAGTGGGGAATCCTTTCTTGGACCAGAGGACCTGTGGTCCAAAGAACGTGGAGGGAATCCTTGTTGCTTTTTTCTCTCTTCTCTGTCCTCTTCTCAGTTGGCCATGGAGGCAGACCCAGTCAACAGAAGACCACAAAGGGGAAATTTTGGAGACAGTGTGGGTAAGACTCACACAGAGAGGACAGAGATCAAGAAAGGAATTCCATAATATTGTGTTTGAATGCCTACGTTCACCCTTAAGCTGGGCATATATATACATGTGTGTGTATCTGATCCTAAACAGCATACCAAAGGCTTTGA